ATTTTCCAAATGATAGTTTGTATATTGTGAACTTTGCTGTTAGAGTTTCTTGGAAATTAGCTGACCCACGGGCTGCAGCTGTAACTTCTATTCTGGGGTTTAGCATGTTTGAGTACTTCATCTTGAAATTTTCTTTGTAATTCCTGATTTTTGTGCTTCATTTTTACTTTTTTTTCTGTAAATAATAAAACAAAAACCTACAACTCAAGCTCTATAATCTGATACAAGTTCCTGCAGCTTGGTAATCACAATTTTTCTTGCATGCACTTTATGTAAGAAAGACATTACTTACATGCGCTTTTTCTCAAACTCTCATTTGCACCATTGGTTTGATATTTTAAAGTGAGGATATGGGTGATAGTTAATGAAAAATAGTTCTTGTACTTGTAGATACTGATATTTTCTGTTGATAAGTGAACACATTTTATAAACTGAAATAAAAAACTGATATGTTGCTTTGAGTTTGTGTAACACCCTTTATCACATTCAGATACAGTAGAGATTGATTTTCATAAAACTAAAATAAGGGGAAGAAGGATAAACGACAAAAGCAAAATATGTTTTAATATGTGTTTCATATTGTCCAAGCAATAACATTAGTTCACTGAATCTAAAGTCATGCTATGATTGCAGGACATTTCATTGGGTGTTGCATTGGGTTCTGCAACTCAAATTAGCATGTTTGTGGTAAGACACTCTCAATTTTAATATGTAAATGGATACTTTCATTTAGATATTAATTGCTTTTTGGAGTAATGAAAGCTTATGCAATTACAATATAGGTTCCTCTATGCGTGACTGTTGCTTGGATAATGGAGAGAATGTGCTCAGCTGTAGAATATTTCGTACTGTAATATATTTGGTGGTGAAATGAAGTGTATCTTTGAAAGTAAATGCTTTTGTTCCATTTGTCTTCTGTTTTTAGTACAGAATGCAATTTATGTTGTAAAACATGTAATGGATGATATAATTGGCTCATTGTTTTCATGTGTTTGACATGCGACGGTGACTTGATTTTGTAATAGCAGGGGGTTAATAAAGATCAAATTTGATTATGATCGAGTAGCTATTGTAGGATGTAAAGCTCATAAGTATAGCAAAATTTCATAACTATAACATGGTTTTTGGCACAGTGCAAAAAGTTGGAAAAAAGAAAAAAATTCTTCTTTAAAACCGGTTCGGAAATAGTTCGGAAATGGTTCGGAACCGGTTCAGAAGTGGTTCGGAACTGGTTCGGAAGTGGTTCTAGTTCGAAACCGGTTTGAAACCAGTTCATAAACGGTTCGGAAGTGGTTCTAGTTCGAAACCGGTTTGAAACCAGTTCATAAACGGTTCGGATCGAACCGGTTTGAAACCACTTCCGAACCGGTTTCATTTTTTATAAAAAACCAGTTCGGTTCGGTTCTTCAAAAAAACCGGTTCGGGTCGACCCATGCTCATCCCTACTATTCTCATATTAGTTAGGCCCAATTTGGACTTTTACTCTAATATGAGTCCAAAACCAAAAACACATTAAGAGCATACTTACACTACTATAAAATGTTGAAATTGCAACAAAAATATGTCCAAATTTCCATCGCTAAATGTCGAACACAAATTTTGTCGCATTTTCGTCATTAATTGTGATGGAAAACACTTCCATCACAATAATGGAATATTTGTGACAGATATTATGACGAAGTTTTTTATGACGAGAATCGGTGGCAAGACTAGGGAGTAGAGCTTGCGATGACGGTGTGTTTATATCCGTTGCAATATATATGGGGAAGGTTCAAGAGTAACTTATGCATCAGGCATTTCATAATAATATGACTTCACGAAAATCAACATCTTCATCATTTATTGTACTCATTGGGTCTTCTGCACCTTGAATCACGCTTCTAAGACCGGTAATAATATAAATCTTTGGGATAGACCAAGATATTTGGGAAGAAGTGTCTATAAGTAGGGGAGGACTATATGCAAGAGATAAAGTAGGAGAAAAAGGCATCCCACCAACATAAGGTGAAAACTATGCATCAGTAGTTGACATGAGCTGTCGAAATCGCGCAAATTAATAAAATCATGTTTCTTGAAATTTGTAGTAGAGCGTCAACTTGAGTCGTCTCTCAAGGAAATCATAATGATTAAAATCGCAGATTAAAATAGAAAATAAAAAGGGGTATTTTGTTCATTTTGAATAAGAATTAAAACAGAACGTAAAAATTGAAATTGAAATTTGTAATTTAAATAACCAACATAAGGTTAGAATTCTTGGGACGTCTTTCCTCGGATAAAAAGATATCATAATCGTGATTGATCTCAATTGAATCAGAATCCTTGTTTTCAATTAAGAACCCTCTCTAAGCGATCACTTAGCGTTTGATCAAATACGGTGTTTCTACTCATACAGTCACAGAGTATTAGCCCGTTTGACTTAAGGTCATAGGGTTAATCAACCTAATCCTCAAATCTGATGATTAATCTCTTTCCATAATCGCAATCGTGAATCTCAGATTGAATATCCACAATCGTATGATATCAATCTGAGTTTGGAAGAGAAACGAATCTGATTTAAAGAAAAACGCAGATCCTCAAGACTAATCCATGGAATCCATTATCCTTAAGTTGATCAAAGGGTGCTTAGCCTAGCATGGCTAAGATAAACATAATTTAAAATTAGAAAGAAGAAGAACAGAAATTGAATTAATCTCCAGAAATAATTTGTCGATCGTACAAACTCTCAAATGAAGACTACTGACTAGAAGAAAATTAGACTCTTAAAATATTTATATATACTAATCATTAGAGTTTAAAAACTTAAGTATCACAACAATAAGTCAATAATATAATAATAGTTTAGTTAAAGACAAAAAATTATTAATATGCCGTAATTAATGTTCTTAATGTCTAAACGGGCCTACCATAATTAATAGATAGATAAATTTAGCAATGATAATACGTGATAACTCCGAATTAAATAGAATTATTAAATAGTCATATTTAATAAAGAAATTGTTCTTTAAAGCCGTACCGAGTTATCAAAATGCAGTTGACATCATTAAATTGAAAATTGGAGTAAAGGTAACAAATTAAGGACAAGTAAATGGTAGGTCATTTATTTCTTTTGTATGTTACATCAGAAGAGAAACGGAATCTAACCCATTCGTTCTTCCTTCCCCAATTCACCAATAAAAATTTAGTAAAAGAAGCCCATCGCTCAAAACAAGAAGAAGAATGCATTGCATATGATTGGGAAATGGTATCGTTGAATCATGTATCTAATTTATCAATCGAAGATTTATTTCCTTATGTTACGAGTCTCGCGATATAATGTCGGCGCGGGCGAGACGATGTTAAAACAGTTTCTGAATGAAAATCACCTAACGCTTCGTTGAACTTTTGCAAAGCCCACAATTAAGGGTCGCCACGTATCCAAACTGATCAATCTTGATGGAGCACACGTAGGAGAGGGGTCCACTTTTCTGGCTCAACATTTATTGCCTGGTTTCATCTAGCACATCAACAAACTCTATTCCATTTTAGGAATCCATATTAATTTAAAAATTATAATATTACTCTGCAGTAAAATTATGTCCTATGAGGCTATCAAAAAAAAATTTATGTGCTATGATTTTAAGTTTATGATATTTTGAGATTTCAGTATTGTTTAGGAAATTTTAAAAATAGTAACAATGTTTTGATACATTTATTTTATAAGAAAGAAATAAAATTTTCAAAACACCATTTATTCTTTTTACAAATTTCAAAATGACATGTAAAGGATATAGTGAGAAAAATATTTATCATTTTAAAAGATATAAATTTATATTATTTTAAATGAAATTACTGTATTTAAGTAATTTTTTTATCTATTATATGCTCATCATACTCTTACCTTTTCTCTCTTTCTAATTTGTGGCGATGGAAAGAGAATATAAAAAATTACTGGATATGCATCAAAATAAAATATATTCTTTATAATGATAAATATTTTATCTTTTTATTTGTGAACAAAAACTCTTCCTTAAAAAATAGAAAATAATTACAAAGATGGAAGATATATTTTTGGAAAAAATATTTCTCTTTTTCAATGATATAATTTTATATCATTTTAAATGAAATAATCATATTTTAACACATATTTTTTATATTCTCTCTTCCACAAAATCAGGAAAACAGATAAAGAAAGAATATTTCAAAAGAGAAAGAAGATAAAAAAATCCATCCGAACAAAATTTAACAAAATAAAATTGTGTTATTTAAAAAGATAAATATTTTCTCAATTTTTTTAAAGTAATTTTTTTGTTTTAAAATATTATTATTATTATACTAGTTTTAAAATATTATTTGTTGCATAATAATAAGGAAAAAGTGTTTGTCATTTTAAATGACAGAAAGTTATGTCATTTAAAGAGAAATACAGACACAGAAAATTTAAATTTTAAATTAAAAAAAATCACTCACTTTCTCTCTCCCATGATTTTCATTTTTCTGTATCTATCTCTCTCCTAAAATGATATAAATTATGTCATTTAAAATCACACACACAAAATCCTAATAATAAATAGATATGACAAGTGATTTAAATATGAAGTTTGTTTTAATCCTTTGCTTAAGTAGGGTGTGTGTGATTATGACCAGCAGTGTACGGCTCGTGCTCTTTCTCTTTCCTATGCGGTTTTTTCCGTGCGAGCCGAGCCGGGAGCGCATGTGTCAACAACCGTGAATGCGTTCTTTGTTTCTGTTTTTCTCTCTCTCTCTCTCTTTTGCTACGCGTTTTACTCTCTCTCTCTCGGCCCCTATATTAATTGTGTACTCGCTCTCCGTCACTCGCCGGCTCCGGCGATTATTTCAGATCAATCGCCGGCGATCCCGTCACTCCCCCATCATTTCCTTCTTTCATCGGCACCGTTTCAATTCGTACCCCCGCGAATTTCAGGCGCGTGCGGTTCTTTCCAAATTCTAAGATCTTATCGTTTCGGTTCCGATTTGGATTGACGCAATTTGAGACGTTCCTGTGTAGTGCGGGACGGTAATGTGGCTGAGAATTTAAGGTTCTGGCATTGCTCCTCGAACTCGAAATTTTCGGTTCGTTTAAGGTTTGAATCTGGTACCAGTTTATTTGGATCTTGGGGGTTCGGAATCGAGGAAGCCGAAATTGAAGTGTATTCGTTTTGTCATCATTATTATTATTACTATTACTATTCGATTTTGAATAAACATTTTAGGGTTTGGTTTTGTATTGAGTGCATTGCATTGATCGAAGAGTGGATGGTATGAAGGAGGCGTTGTTAGGGGGAGAGAGGAAGAGAGAGAAGTTGGTTTGGGAAGGGTTGATGATGATGATGGGTTTGAAGGGAGAGAGTAATAATAAGGTTGAGAAGCTAAGGAATTCAGTGGTTGCGGCAACGGCGTCGTCGAGGTCATCGAAAATGAAGCTATGGATGATACGTGCGACCACATCGGTGTTACTGTGGACGTGCATCGTTCAGTTAACTGCGTTCGGTGATATGTGGGGGCCTAGAGTTTTGAAAGGCTGGCCTTCTTGTTTTACCCATGAATCCGCTCTCATTGAATTTCCTTCTTCTGCGCACCCAAGAGTTCTACCACCCAAGAGTCAGTTACTTTACTCATTTTCATTTGGATTACACTCTGTTTGTTGCTTGTTTTGTGTGTTTTCCAAAAGAATTGGTTTTGTTTGGTTAGCTTTATACATCATTAATTGAATTGACCTGTAGTTTGGTTTTTGCCAGGGGTTTATAAAAACAACGGTTACCTGATGGTGTCGTGCAATGGAGGACTGAACCAAATGAGGGCAGCGGTGAGTGGTGGTTTGCACATGCATTTGCGTTTTCCTTTGTTCAACTGAGCTGTGATTTAGTGTTTCAGTTTGATTTACTGATTCTATGATGTAATTTGTACAGATATGTGACATGGTGGCCATTGCAAGATATTTAAATGTCACGCTTATAGTCCCCGAACTGGATAAAGCGTCCTTTTGGGCTGACCCCAGGTGAGTTTTGTTAGGTTGGGGAGGTTTTCTTGAACTAGGGATCTCTTCTCAATGACTGTTTATTGCTTTTATTTCAGTGAGTTCCAAGATATATTTGATGTGGATCATTTTATTACATCCTTGAGAGATGAGGTGCGGATATTGAAGGAGTTGCCTCCTAGACTTAAGCTGAAAGTGGAAAATGGGTTACTTTACAGCATGCCGCCGATTAGTTGGTCTGACATATCTTACTATAAGAACCAGGTATTTTTTTTATAATCCTTGGGCCAATGAGTTAAAGAGTTTAAATATGTTCAACCCTTAGATTAGTGTTGTGATGTTAACTTTGATACCATGTCTCTTGATTTTATTGTTTCCAGTTTGTTTTGTGGTTTACTAATTAAAATGAAAATGGTATCATTATTCTTTCAGATTCTACCTTTGATACAAAAGTACAAAGTTGTCCATTTAAATCGAACAGATGCTCGGCTAGCCAATAATGGCCAACCTTTAGAGATTCAGAAGCTGCGTTGCCGAGTCAATTTTAGTGCTCTTAGATTTACTTCTCAGATTGAGGAATTAGGCAGAAAGGTGATCAAGCTGCTGAGGCAAAATGGCCCATTTCTGGTGCTTCATCTTAGGTATGAGATGGACATGTTGGCATTTTCTGGTTGTACTCAAGGTTGCAGCAGTGATGAGGTGGAAGAATTGACAAGGATGAGGTGAGTAGTTTGCTTAGTTCAGCTTTTCTGTAATTTTCAAAATTTTCAATCATGGCGGAGGTTGAAAGGAGATTGCACATGAATCTTTCTCAAATTTCACTTTCCTGTCCCTTGGCAGATATGCTTATCCTTGGTGGAAAGAGAAAATGATAAATTCTGATTTGAAAAGAAAAGATGGTTTGTGCCCTTTAACACCTGAGGAGACTGCCCTCACACTTAGGGCTCTTGACATTGATCAAAACATTCAAATCTACATTGCAGCTGGGGAAATATATGGTGGGGAAAGGAGAATGGCAAGTCTTGCAAAGAACTATCCAAAATTGGTAACTAACTTCTGGCTTAGGAAACCTGTTAGTTGTGATGCTTGTTTCTGTTTAATTTCCTCTTATTGTTTGTCATTTTGATTTTTTGAAACAGGTCAGAAAGGAAACACTGTTGGAACCATCTGACCTTCAGTTCTTCCAAAATCATTCCTCTCAGATGGCGGCACTTGATTATCTTGTCTCATTAGAGAGTGATATCTTTGTTCCTACATATGATGGAAATATGGCCAAAGTAGTTGAGGGCCATCGCAGGTAAAGTTTGACTAATAAGAAATGTTATTTGTCTACCCGATAAACTAATTTTTCAAATTTTAATTTTTTTTTCTTCCAATGGCAGTAGTAAACTTATTTTATTATAATTCTGTGGGAGAATATTTTTTGTCCACTTGAAAGTGGCAGTTTCTGACATAGTTTAAAAGTCTCAAGCACAGTTCTATTTTTCTCCGAATACTTTTCCGCCTTATTGTTATGAATTGTGAGCACTTCAGTGCCATGTGAGATAACTTGTATCCTCCAATGCTTATACAGATATCTTGGGTTCAAGAAGACGATTTTATTGAACAGAAAGCTCCTAGTTGATTTGATAGATCAATACAATAATGGAGTATTGAACTGGGATGAATTCTCTTTAGCTGTGAAGGAAGCTCATGCTGATCGGATGGGTGGTGCAACTAAAAGATTGGTAATCCCTGACAGGCCCAAAGAAGAGGATTATTTCTTTGCCAATCCAGAGGAGTGTTTACAACCGTTAGATGATCTGTTGAGTAGTGCAACGTGAGTGATGTGTTTGGAAATAATGGAAGTTACCTGTGCCCTCTCCTGGTGCACTTGATTTTCTTCCACGAATACTAAGATAGGTCTCTACGCAGTTATAGCAAAGATGACAGCTTTTTGTATCAAAGAGGCAGTCATAGTGCCTGTTAGAAGAAGGGGTAGGGGGGATACACTTTTCATGAAAGCTCAAGAAGGTCAAGCAAATTAACCGGGGAATACTTTATATATAGAATATGCAAATAATCCATCACTTTCATGTATAGAAGCTACCCTGCCATTACAGGGTGAGAGCAGATCAATCTGCATTGTACACGGAGGGATTCATATACAAATTTGGATTTCTGGAACTGCAGCTCGTGGAAGCTTTTTCACTTGGTACCTCTCATTTTTTATTTTTTATTTTTTACTTCTCTTCTGAGTATATATAACATAAAAAAAAATTTCTCCTTCAGCACGCTTTTTTTATCCATCACGATCATTTGTGATTTTATGGATTACCCTCACTATAAAATTTGTTTGTTCGTGTAGATTATTGCCTCCTTATTTCTTTTCTTTTGGTCATTATTCAGGAATTGGTAGGTTGCATGACTTTTTTGTATTTTCTCTAATTTATATTTACATTTTCACTTCACTGTGAATGCCATTTTTCGGTTGTTCTTAATATAGTTGTTAAAATCTCGATTTGTCACTACGATTTTACGCTTTTGTGATTCTTTTTTATCAAAATGATTTTATCAATATTCCAAACGCTTTTACGTTTTTACAATTTTTTACGATTTTTTTACAATACGATTTTACGATTTACGATTTTTTAGTTCCTTTTCGATTTTATTTAAAATCTCGATTTTATAAACATTGGTTCTTAATTGCTAAATAATACCAACTTATCCATCAACCCTCAAATAGATCTGAACCAATAAACACGTGTGAACGGGGAACTCTGGTCCCCTTGTGACTATCTTTCTAACCTGTGGTTTGGATGGAACTTAGCTGTTTTATTGGTTGGAGTGCTTATCTTATAAGTAGGCGAATTGTAGTTGGAGTGGGCTTTCTTTGTTGAGAGTCTTTATTATTACAGAGTGAGACAGATGACAAACACAACCAATCAAAGCCAGTCAAAAGTGGTCCATTGGGTTTTTTTGGCTTATTCCATTATATCATCAGTAATGATATGATTTATGTGATCGTTGGAGGAAATATATCCTTTGTTTTTTTGACGTAGTGGTGTCAAGTATCGGTTGTATTGTAATTTGTCAGATTCGGGGACTACGGCTTTGTATTATTTTGGCTTAGTCTGCATCCTCATGTTTCATACAATTATTGTTGCTTCATGATGAAATATCTTGTATATTGATCTAAACATAATTAGAAGGGGAAAAAGTTTCTGCAGTTAATGCAGATAAGTTATCTGCATTTATTTCTAAAACGATGTCGTTTTGATATTGAAATCTTAAAAAATTAGAAATATAAAGACTATTATAATCCTGAAATAAATTAAAATTACAAAATACCATGATTTTCGTAAACGATGTCGTATTGGACTTATTGCAGATAATTTATCTGCAGACCGCAGAAAAAGCGAACCCTAATTAGGATCCTTGGTGTGGTAATTCTGTGACGGAGTTTAAAGTTGTTACTCTAAATTTCTAGTAATCAACTAACATTCATTCAAACCATTAAACGTAGCCCTCTGGTAAGTTTCAAAGATCGTAATGGTGGCACACTGAGGACCCCATAAATCTTGTAGATTTATATTTGATAGCGTTAATTTATGGGCTTCTTCACTATTCTCATGTTATAGAAAATAGTTATCTCTTATCATAAATACATACCCATGACTTAAAAAAATAAAAAAATAAAATACAGTATAATTTTTGAAGAATGTATAGGATAAAAAACTATTGTCCTACGTCACGAGTAATTTTTTCCTTTAATTTATTGCATTATTTACTTATACTCTGTTGCTATTTGTTGTCTGAAATTAGACAACTAAAGAACGAACAAAAATAATATAGACTCGTTTACCAAAAAAATAATAAAAATAATATAGACTCGGGATTAGGGTTATCATTAGATTTATTCGTTGACGTGCTGTGGTCCATGGAAAAAAAGTAAGGATTTACAGGCTTGAAACCAATCAAACACAGACATGTCCTCAATTTAGATTGGAAATATTGCGTTACGGTGGTTAAATTATAGCAATCAACCGAGCATCTAAATAATGTCTGCGATGAAATTACGGTCTTCGTTCAGAATAGACAAGAGAAAAGCTAAATATAGTTTGGGGTAATTCCAAAAGAGAACGAAAAGGTGAAATGAAAAGCCGGACATGTTTAGAAAAGCTTTTAATTAAGCGTTATTTATTTTATTTTACATGAGATAAACAACTCTCCTATACACATAGAAAGGGTTGGGTTTCACCACTTTTTTTCCTCTCTCCTCTTATCTATGGATCTCACTTATACTTTTATTTCTATAACATGAGGTAATTTTTTTCCTGCAACATAAGAAAAATATATTCCTTCAATTAAATATGGTGATCAGCTGAAAAGCTTGTTTGCAAAAATAAATCAAAACTAATATGCAAGACTCAACAGAAAATTAGCCGTTTGAAGAATAGTGCCCGGATAGCAACCATTATTCGTTGTGAGGAAAGGTTATTACTAAAAGGCACCTTGTTTTACAATTTGTTTTATTTCATCACATATTCTTTAAAACATAAAAATCGAACTCTGATTGAAGTCATTTTCATTGTGCAAAGTGCGAACATCATCCAAAGCGCACAATTGTGTGCTTCATCTTTTACAGTAGTAGTATTATTAGTGGATCACCACATCAAGGAATATCCTAGAATTTCAATTCCTAATTTGTCAAAAGCCAAAGTAGCAGACAAGACGATATTAATTAAACCAACATTTTCTGAAACTCTGAATCCAATCGATGACTTCCAAACCAGGAACATTTTCAACAAAATGAGCTTCAAAGGCAGAGAGTTTCGAGACAGAAAGGAACTAGCCTTGAAATATAATACATGGAAATAAGCCAAATCCTTGCACAATAATTAATGCACTCATCATGTTAACGGAATCTAGAAGATCATTGGGAAATTGAAAGGATAATATGAAGGAGATCCCAACAAAATCCTCATAATTTTTTTCTCGTTTTATTTAATTATTGTTTGAATGATCCAAGAATCCACCTAGGAAAAAGGGTCAGGTGAACATATTAAAGCTTTGTTCGATTAAATCTACATTGCGTGGATATACGTTGCTTTTGCACCAAGTAAGGATCAGCCACAACGTTTCTCTTAATTAACAACGCTTGTCAAATGCCATTATCGAGTTAATTAACTAACTACAAGTCTACAACAATACCACACGTGGATTAACTGATAAGGAATTATTTTAATTTAACTAGTGATCTTGAGTTTGAATTTTTACTAACGAATTGTATGAAAACCTAGTACGAAGATCTTTTCCTCTCATGTAATCTTACTGACTCGAATGAGACTAATTTAATAATCGATTCAACAATAGTTGCCGCCATGTGTTGTTGTGTCAAAAGCTTGAGCTTAAAGCCATTGATTCTTGCTTAGATTTCATTTTAATATGCTAGACAAGTGACAATCTTTGTTACTAACGAGGCCTCATAGACTTATCTGGATTATATAGTGAGGGTGATGGTTTGGTTGGTGCCATGCACTTACTATTAGGTCAGCCACGCCCTTTCTGAAATAATTTCACGTTGCTAGAAATTTCTAGTTTTTTAGTTTTTAGTGATGATTTCATGACCTTTAACTTTAGGATTTGGAATATTAACAACTGCCGCTGCGGAGTTAATGTGATTTGGCTTCAATTTTTTCCTTTTCATTATTAAATAACATAAACGTTACATCACCTTTATTTTATTTAATGAGGAATAAACGGTTTAACAGATGCTAATATAATATTTTTTTTCCTGAAGAAATAATCGCATATTATTCGTTGGATTCTTTTAAGAGTGCTTTAGCTAAGTCCGCTAGAAAGCATTAGGTGCTCTCTCGAGTTTTGGGCTTGGCAGCTAACAAAACTTCAGGCTTGGCACACTGCACCTGATCCAATGTTACTTGTTCATCACTTGGGAAGATAAAAAAAAAAAAATAGGTTGGATTCAAATCTGCTTGTTTTTGTTTTCCTCGTTTTTATTGCTTCGATTGCATAATAGTAACTGAGCAATAAATAAAAACAAAAAAACTTTCTTTTAAATGACTATACTTTTTCTATTAATTATCAATTTTTTCGAAGTTATAATTTAATTAAAGAAACATGAAAGGGAGGCAAGAAAATATGACAACAGATATTATTAAAAAAAGAATTGGGATTATGTTGTCTAGCTGTAGTGGATGACTTCTTTCCTTCAAGGAAGAATCTTCAAAAACGCCCAACCCAATCCCACCTCTTCGAGACAACATTTAATTATTAAGGAAACCAGAATCCGAAACCCTAGAAGTGAAAAGCATCCATAGCCCAACCCATTAGAAACGGGAGTGAAAAAAAGCCATAAACTACCAAAAACAGAAAGAAAAAGAAAAAGAGGCCATAAACAAGCGAATTAGGCTTGTACCGCTTAATCCATAATTAGCACCCCCAACACATGATGCCGTTATTGGAGTAGAGAAGTATTCCAGGCCTTTGTTACCTGCGCTGCCACCACAAGAAGCCCAAGGTCCAAGATTGAGGACCGGTCTGGTAACCATCTAGCTATCGATGTATAGCATTTACCCTGTGAAAGGTATCAGATTAGTGATGAGAATGAAGAAAAGTAACGAAAGAAAAAATGAGATCTTAGTCTCTTATATCAATGGCTGTGTACACTATGAATTGTATATTTGATCTGAATGGGCTAAGTGCCAATATATAGACTAAGCCCACATAAAGTTGGGCATGTGATTGTAACTGAATAACAGAATGTGAGAATAACTGAGTAACTAAGTTTGTTAGATCAGCAACAGATTTGGTTAGGCCACGCTTTCATTCCCCCGCAAGCTGAGTGGGCTTGGACTCCAAGACTCGAAGCTTGGACTTGAAGTCAAGGAATTGGGCTTTTGGCACTGCTGTAGTAAGTCCATCAGCTATCTGGTCCAACGCAGGAACATGATGAATAGAGACCGCTTTGGAGACAACTCTTTCTCGGACAAAATGGAGATCTAGCCCAAAGTGTTGTTTCCGATAGGAAAATATAGGGTTCGCCGTGAGTAGAACGGCGAAGAGGTTGTCGCAGTAAATAAGTGGAGGACGAGGGAGCTTAACATGGAGTTCGGAAAAGAGGGATTGGATCCATGTGAGTTCTTCAACGGTGGCTGCGAG